GGGAGGTCCGGTGTCTGCTGCCAGGGGTGTTCGGTCAGATAACCGTTTTACCGAATAATTGATAAAGGGTGAAATATATGAAAAGCAGGAGGAATAGGATATTTCTTTTTATTCCCAGATGATGTCAGCCACGAGGTGGCTGCAGACTGGTGGTTGCCTTTCCCAGTTAGGTCATTGCACAAGTGAATCTGTGCCTGGTTTATCCAGCACCGGTTGTATGTAACTCAATAAATCTTACTTCTCTGTGCAATCTCTCTTCTCTAAAAGCAGCAGTGGAGAGTGTTTCTACACAGGATTATCTGTCAGTTGGTATTTATAGCCTTTATTTGGGAGGAGAGTTTGTATCAAATCTGATGGGGAACTGAGCCACCACTGTGAGTGAGTATTTTAATGTCTGGGTTATTACATGGAAAGAAATCCACCCATCGTCAGTGGTGACTGCATTGAAGAATGACTTGTATGCTGTTTTTTGAAGAGTCTGCATTTACTTGCTCCATGTTGTATTCCTGAATGAGGGAGGAAGCCTTGATACCCAATGTAAGATACTCAAGGGGTGTATTTCAGGCTGTTTAAGACTTAACTGTCTTCGTTTTTCCTATTGCCTGTCACTAGGCAACTGTCTGCTGACTGCACTGGCTAGTCTGGAGCCAGTCCTTGGGTGTCTGACTGTGTTCGTGTAGTAGGAAACCTGGGCACTTTGCTCGAGCTTCTGAATTTGATCTGGAGGACGTATCCCACGACAGTTTCTGGTGTGTTTTTGTTATTGAATCTAGCTTTTTGCCTCTGTCTTGAGAGGTTTATACTGTAAGAAATTCAAAATACGTATTTAAGTAGTGTGAATTTTTTTGATAATTTAGCTAAACTTAGGTAACCTCTGTGGGAGTGGAATTCATAATGATTAAGCCCCTTATATGTTTCTGGGTGGCATATCAAGCATTCATGACTGGGGTTTGCAATAGTAGAACTACAAAGTCCTGGGATAACTATGGCAAATTGTAAATAGTTGAAGACAGAAAGAGATGTAGGCCTTATCCTCTTACCTGTTTAATAATGGTTGAGGTACTTGAAGCTGCCTTTTGTATTACGTAGTGGTTGAACCACTTGCTTTGTGCCTTCTTCAGAAGACAATGAAAATCTGGAAGGCAAATTCAATGATGATATCTTGAGAATATTAGAGAAAATGACACAGGAGGTAAATGAGAGGGACCTGTAAAACAGAAATACATAAACCAAAGTTTACCAAAGTAAACCTTCAATGCTAACTCTTTGTTAGCAGCAAGAAATCTACTATTAATCATCTTAATTTAATTCTTCCATAAAATACTAACAGGAGAGGGCAGCAAAAATTCTTCTTCATAGCCCAGAAAATTGACTAAAACTGGTGCAGTGAAGTTGAGTGATAGATAAACGTTTATAAGCACGATATTATGAACATGTTGATGTATCTTGAGAGGTGCTTCTATATGTGTTGAATAACTGTACTGGAAAGTGTTCAAGGCCAAGTTTAGGTAATTAAATTTGTACTGTTTTTAACCTAGCTTCTGTGGGTAGATAAATTACCCCTTCAGGAACTTGTTCTTTGGCACCAAAATTGCTTCCTGTAATCCAGCTAGTTCACCTAGGTCTACCTTGAGTGCTCATGTAGTGCTGCACTCTAAAATGTTGATGTTCCTAACTGATTGTTAGGGTAAATATTATTGACCATGGCATTACCTACAAATAGAATCAGTGCTTACTCAGCTGATACCCTGCATACCCTCTGAGCTGTGTCTGCCTTAGACACTGTAAGTGCCAGGTAGTACAACAGAGAGTGCAGAATAAGTTGAATAAGATAGAAAAAGGGAAAATAGAGTAGGCTGTAGAGGACAGTGAGAAGAGACCTCGTGTTTCCTCAGAATAAAATTCTTTCTTTTTTTTGACAACTGATGTGCAAAATTGCTCAGTTGAACTGATCAATGATTATTTCACTCGACTTACTGAGTACACACATTTGCTATTTTATGGTAGGCTTGCAGGGCAGTTCTCATCTCTTCTTTTTTATTACAGAATTCTGAAATGCTTAATTTAACATACCATTCTAGATGCTTTCTGGATGTAAAGTAGATGACGGTTTTAGTGCGACTTTGTTACTGAGAGCTTCAGAGTTCTCTACTGCAGGTATCTTGATACGGTGCTTGCAACACTGGATTATATAGACACACCCATCTTATCTCGTTGTACACAACATACTTTACTTCCCATACTTCCAATACTCACGTATGCTTAGCAAAAAAACCCAGTCTTCTCTTTACATGGGCTGAATTTTCAGAACTGTTGAGTAGCCCAAGTGGGGTTCTTTGTCCCCTTCAGGTAAAATATGCTTTGGTTATAAAACTTCTGTCAGGGTGAAATCTTGGCTCCACTGATATCTATGGCAAATTCTTATTTATTTTTTTTTAATGGAATCTAGATTTTGCCCACAGTTTTCATTAAAGTGGATACCTTATCTTTGCAAGTTTAATAAGACTTTTTGTTCTGTGTGTTTTCAGACCTGCTGATACTGTGTGCATTGAGGGGAGGAAGATGCTTTGTCGGTATGAGATACAGAGCTGTTTCCTCTTGGCTTTTTTAGCTGTCACAGCTTTCTTCATCCGTGATGCCCAGGGCCAAGGTAAGTCATAAATAAGAAGATGGAGCTTTTCACTCTGATGTGCAGAAATAGACTTTTTTATTCCAAATGTAAGTGTTACTTTGTAGGATGTGGATCCAGTACTACTGAAATGAAGCAGGAGTTTTGCTGCTGATCTCAGAGGGGAGTAGACTTACATGTTCATGTGTGCTCTTTGAACTTAATCTCTCAAACAGGATAAATCTTTTTTGCAAATTCAGGTGTCTCAAAATGAGTTATATGAAACGTTTTGGGTTTGTTTTTTTTTTTTTACTCTTATTTACATGAAAATACTGATCAGAAATTGCTGTGACTGTCTTCTACATAATCAAGTAAGTTTGAAGGACCAGCTATGCAGCTAAGCTTGTATGGAATATGTATTTTTTTTCTTTGTTGTTGTAACAGTGGCTATTGTAACACTTACATCATACAGTATTGCACAGGGCTGTAAATGTCACAGGCTACTTCTGCAGGTTTTAAAAAAAAATCTCCTTTGTGGGTATTAAAAGATACTGTGGAGATTTTTAGGCTTAAATACTTGTTGCATTGTATTGACAGTGATTTGACTTCTAGAGGAAACATCCTATTGCTCGAGAATGAAGGGATGAAGAATGCCAATGAGTTTTTATGATTTCTAAAGAAAGACGTTTCTCTCAACTTTGTATTTATGTAATCTCTCTGAAATGAGACTGCGTAGGCATAACTGGGAGCAGAATTCAATCCTGGTCTCTTCTAAAGCATCTTGTATAATGCATTATTCATGAGCACATTCAGAGAGTAGTGGCAACCTGAGGCTTTCCAAGTTCTGGTAAACGCAAGTAGCAGTGCTGTCCAGCCTGCGTGGCAATCAAGTGCTGGGGAAGCATTCCATCTTGGATGCTTGGGAATCTGCGAGTGTTTTACAAGCCTCTCCTAGAGCTTAGGGACACATGTAAGCAGTAATATTTAATGTAGGCGATGTGAGGTGAATGGAGAAATACATGTTCCCAATGTTCAACACATCAGTTCTGGTCAGAAATGAGGTCCAGAATGTTTGTGACTTAATGAGCCAGTAAAGCAAAGCATATGGTTAGTCCCCTCTCTATGTATTTCAGTCCTAATACATATGGTTAAGATTTACAAAACAGGATTGAGATCCATCTCCAGAAAGCTTTGCAAAATTCTTTGAGCTTGGAAAACAGTACTGTTCCCCCACTTTTTTTTTAAAAAAACCCTTTGATTTAATCGGTCATATGTAAGGGAGAAAACTCTCAAACTATTAATACAATGAAATGAAGGTCAGAGAGAGCCTTTTCCACAGTCATCACACAGCAGAAGTTAGAGTTGGTGTACTTGATGAATAAAGAACAATACTTCCCTTGTTCTTGTACTCTTTCAGCAAGCATCAGCTCTTGAATGCTGTCAGCAGTGTGATACTAAGCTAAGTGGACTATTGCCTTGGCCCAAAATGACTGCCATGTTATTGAATGAGGTGATATGAAGTCTCTATGCCATGTTCTCAGAATAAAAATATCTCTTGCTACACTTGAAGTAATAAGATGTTTCTCAAATCCTTTCTTTTCTCAAGGTCGCCACCCCTTGCAGTAAGCTCTTCATGCAGCTGGCTAACTATTTACATTTAATACAGCACTAACAGTGTGTTTGTCGGTTTTAAGAAATTGTACACTCTGCCAAGGGCTAGGAAGAGCTGGTATTAGTTCCAGCTTGTTTCCTTCCTTTGGCAAAGATGCTCAGGTAAAGGTGTGTAATGTGACTTCTTGGAAAGGAGAATATGTTTGGGAGACTGAAGTCAACAAGCCTGAAGCTACAACTTGTTCCTTCAGCTGAGGACTTATCTGCATTGAGCTACACAGTTTTATCTCATTTATTGCCTGAACATCGTAGAAACCACATTGTGCCATTCAGTGTTTACTCAACAGCAATTATGCTTTCATCACTGCTGTTTCCTCAGCATAATGTTACTTAAACAACAGTAACAAAAAAAATCCGGCTTTTGTCTACTTATGTTCTTGTATAGCACACAAAAATAGCTCTGGGCAAGAAAAATACTTTAGAATTTTCCATTTATTCATAGAGTAACTTACTTTAAGAATTTTCCTTCTGTATTTAAAGATGGAAGATTTTATTTGTGTAGCAATCAATTCCACGTGTTACTAATGTAATTGCAGTGCATATTAACTTGTTCAATTCTTATGACAAAAGTAAGTTGGAAGCCACAAAGTCTAGTTAGTATCCAATCTTAGAGTGTTGGATGTCTTAGAGAGCTGCACACATGCAATTTATGGTATTTTTCCTTTCCA